ACGACTACTGTCCCAGATAGTGCGGCCGCGCGCCCCGCAGCCCCGGGGCCGGCAGAGAACAATCCCCAGCCCCAGGGCCACCGCGGGCCTCTCCTCCCCGCGGGCCCTCCAGCCCCGAGGGCTGTCGAAGCGCCCGGGCCCCAGTCCCCGGAACCGCCGCGGGTCACTCCCCAGCCCCGAGGGCCGCGGGTCCCCGCCCGCCAGTGCCAAAGCGCCGGTCAGCGGCGGAAGAAAGTCATATTTATTATTCTCCCGAGACCGCGTCGCCGCGGCCCGGCCGGCAGTTGCAGTGTAGACGATCTGAGAGCCCCGCCTGCAGGCGGTGTAGATACGTGTAGATATGTATAGATACTGTAGATACCGCGCCGGCGCCGACTTGATAAACGGTTTCGCCTCTTTTGGAAGCTGGTGCATGTCGTTTATTTGCGCTCAGTTTGGTGTGAGGAGGGGACCTTGTGGACAGCGAGTCCTTCAGGATCTCCCTGTCCGGATCCCCGAGGAAGACAGGTCTGTCCCCTCACTGTACCCCACCAGCCTGCCTGCTGCCTGCTCCATCCTGGCGTCCCTTCCGCTGCCCTGCTCCATCCTGGCTTTCCCTCCACTGCCCAGCTTCATCCTGGCCTCCCCCACCTCCCTGCTCCATCCTGGCCTTCCCCACCGCCATCCCAGCCTTCCCTCCACCACCCTGCTCCATCCTGGCCTCCTCCACTGCCCTGCTCCATCCCAGCTTCCTTCCTCTCCTCCTCCATCCTGGCCCCCCAGGGCTGGCAGCCTAGCCCAGCCCCTGGGCTGCGCGTCCTGTCATCCTGCCTTTCCACGCACCTCACACCAGCAGTTGTCCCTACACCCGGCGTGGGCCTGCGCCCTGACCAGTTTCTAGGAGGAAGCTTGTCCTGCATGCCTTTCGGTGGACGCTGGGGGTAACGGCCTGACCAGGGTTGGTTAAAGAGAAGCTCTAACTGGGATGGATTGTGGAAAGACAGAAACAGGCAGCTCTATTCCAGCCCATGCCTGTGTTTCCCCCTGTTTGTTGACTTTGTTCACTGTGAGTGTCCCTCTGGAGTGACCTGGGCAAAGGGCGCAATGACAGTGGCCGTGAGTCATTCTGAAACCTGTCTGTGGAGCCCTTTCCCAGGCCAGGTGGCTGAGGGACCCCTCCCAGCCAACTCAACACCAGGGCTGGGGCCAGAGGAACCCTTTGATCCCCCTTCCTGAGCATGGGCAGGAAGAGCAGCCAGCTGGCCAGCGTCAAGATTGCTGACTCGGACACTCTGCTCCCACCATCCGTGCCTGTCCCAATGTGTTTGTGACAACTGCTGCCTTCTAGACCACCCCGCTCATCACCCAGCATGGCAGGGGTGGCCTGGGTGCCCCAGATGTCATCCCTGGGTGAACCAACTGGGAATCCTGGAGCAGGTTGCTGTGCAGTGCAGTGCGGTGCAGGGTGAAGGGGGTCTTGTCCCACTGCCATCTCCTCACGTGCTCGCCCTGCAGCTGTCCGGCCCAGGGGTGGCCTGGGCGTTTCCAGATGTCAGCCCTGGGTGGGACCTGTTCTCTCTGGACGTGAAGTGACTGGGGCTTAGTAATTGGAAGGCAAGAACTGTTCCCAAAGCCAGTCTAGGAGGGGAGGGGTGGCCAGAGCCTACCCAGAGCCCCAAAGGGCATCCAGCATCGGGGTGTAAAGACCTCAGCAGGCTCGTGGGCACAGCCTCAAGAACGCAGGCCTCAGGGCAGCTGTGGACGCTGGTTCCTGGTCCTGCTTCCCACTGGTCCCCAACTGCAAATCTCCCTTTGGGTCAGTCGCACATTACAGTGAGCACCCCGCTCCCGTCCTTGTCCTGGGACACCCAATGAGTGGTGGGTGGGGCTTGCCCTGCAGAGGGCACTGGGCACTTCTCAAGCCTCTTTCTGTCCCTGCCTGATTGCCCCCTCCTGGACTCTTAAGCACTCGGATATCATGGTGGGGAGCCTTGCTTTTGCTCAGAACCAAAATGAAGAGATGCTCTTCTGAATGAATAGCAAGCCCAGTGTTTGAGGATGAGGGTGCCACACAGCAGCATGCAGTGGCCCTGGGTGTGTGGCCTGCTGGCCTTGTCCAGATTTCCACTCTCTGTTGTGATGACCAAACAAGGTGGAGCACCAGCCATCCAAAAGGGTCACCACTAGCCACCATGTCCCTTCACATCATAATGAATTAGAATTAAACGGTCAGGTTTTTTGAATGCTCACCAACCCCAGTCCAAGTCCTCGATAGCTCTCATGCCGTAGGTCACCACACTGGCCACTGCAATGAGGGTGCTCCCTTCGCCAGGTAATGGTCTCAAAGGCCCAGTTTCTCTCCTCCACTCTCACAGCTGAGTCAGCCCTGGGCGAACCAGCTGGGAATACTGGAGCAGGTTGCTGTGCAGTGCAGTGCGGTGCAGGGTGAAGGGGGTCTCGTCCCACTGCCATCTCCTCACGTGCTCGCCCTGCAGCTGTCCGGCCCAGGGGTGGCCTGGGCATTTCCAGATATCAGCCCTGGGTGGGACCTGTTCTCTCTGGACGTGAAGTCTGGCAGAGAAATTCTTACCATGACAACACACAGCCATGTGTCCTTGAGACCTACCCACACTGCTTGCATGGCTTACACACTCCGTCCTTAGCCCATGCCTGGTCAGCACCCATGGCTGCAAACACTCTCCAGCCGTCACCAAGACTGCTGGGGTGGAGCTGACATTCCTGCAGGCAGCTGCCTCGAGAGTCCCCTATAAAATGGCTTCTGGTAGCTTCTTCTCTGTGACTGCTGCAGTCTGAATGTGTGTGCACCCCTCCCCCCCCAAATTCGTATGTTGAAATCTTACCCTCAAAGATGATGGTGTTAGGGAGTGGGGCTTTTGGAAGGTGGTTAGTTCATAAGGGTGGAGCCCCCATGAATGAAATTGGTGCCCCTATAAAGGAGCCAGATGGAGCCAGCCCCCACACCCATTCTGCCATGTGAGGACACACTGAGAAGATGACCATGGGCAACCTGGAAGTGGGCACTTGGCAGAACCTGGCCACAGTGCCGCCCTGAACTTGGTCTGTGAGAAGAAATAAATTCCATTGTTTGTAAGCCTCCCAGGATATGGTAATTTATTATAGCTGCTCAGGTGGAATAAGATGGTGGCTGTCCTCCTTTCCCTTGGCATCAGGTCCCTCTTTGGACACGCCTGTCCTGTCCCACTGTGAGCCACAGTGCAGTGCCATGCAGTTGAAGGGATCTTGTCCCACTGCTGTTTCCTCATGGGCTCACCCCGAAGCTGTTGGACTTCCCCCAGAAGCCTGCTCCAGGTTTCCCAGCTGGTCCAGAAGCCCCATTCTCCTCCCCTCACCTGGTGCAGGAGTCCAGCTGCCAGGACTCAGGAGAATGGTGTGGACCAGAAGGGACCCCAGACTCTCTTACTCCTCAAAATCCTTTAGAAAATAAGAGACTCCCAACACTGGACATAGGCAAACTCATGAGCCCTTTCACCCTTTTGGGTTCCACATAAAGAGTCTGAGAACCCTGGGACTCTGGGGTATGGGTAGACCACCCTGTGGTAGCCCTGTTCCCTGTTTTCCGAGGGCAAGATCAGGCCCAGAGCTGCCCCAGGCCCATGTGGCCGCCCCCTGAAGTGCTGGACCCTCTATCCGAGGGAGGCCTGGAACGCTGTAACATTCCAGAAGGACTGGACATGCATGTCTCCCCAGGGAAGCATTGGGGTACAAAGGCAGGAGCATGCTGGAATTCGGCTGAGGGACAAGGAATCTGTGGAGGGAAAGGAGATCCTGGCTGTGGTGGGTGCCAACCCTTGCACCGGGTGTGCCCTCCAGCTGGGGAAGCCTGTGGGTGTGTGGGAGCCGTGTGATGACAGTTGCACGAGGCTGAGGCACTGATCTCCAGGTGTGCAGCAGATCAAAGCACCCGCACACTAGAGAATTCCATGTGGCCACAGCTGCCCAGGGCAGAGCTAGAAGAGTCTCA